TTCATTAAAAAGCACTTCTAGTACAGCTTAAATCACATATTGACCCTCACACACTGATAGTAGAAGGCTTCATTTCTGACTCTTGTAAATAGACAAACTACCAGAAAAAAGGAAACAGAGAAAGTTAACTGATACTATAAACCAAACCGACCTAGCAGATGTTTATGGAACATTTCACGTAAGTAACAATGAAAACACAACTCTGTGTAACTACTGGTTACCATAACCATAATAAAATTTGACATTTCTTCTATACTATAGAATATTGGTCTAGGCATCTATTCAAAAGTGTGCCTAGTCTACATAAATGTTTGCTTAGTCTATTCATAAGAGTTTAAAAGGCAGAACTATGTGACCAGAATCCAACTGGATACTTTGGTGTCATGTCAAAACTAGTAGTAATAAGGAAGATATTTTTATAGTCTCTTCTCTAGATTTAGCATCTAACATATAGACCACTATCCGACTTATTCCTGTATCACTGTTGTGAAATTTCCTGATTTCAGATAAAATGTAGCCCTGTGCTTCAAAGAGATTTCTTCTCAATGATGTCTAAATAAGTATGCATAAACTAAAAAACATTTGTAAGATGAATTAAATATTTTATTATTAGAGTTTGTACTTTTCAGATGTAGAATTTACATAAATTATACAGGGCCTAAAAACACACAATCGTTGAGGTAAATAGTTAAAATCAGCCAATGGCTATACCGACTATCTATTCTGCAGCGGCTCAACCTAGCTCAGCTGCCATGTTCCGTGGCCAGAGGCCACATGCTCGCCACAGCTAGAAATGGTCAGCAAGAAACACCAGCCAGCCCTGCCACCCACGAGACACCAGCATGGGAGATGGCTCTGCCAATCTTCCATGCTGTCTCGGCAAGGCTGGGCATTGCCCAGAGCATCCTGCCATCCATGCGGGCCCAGTAATTAAATGAGACTCTAATGCTTAAAGATTAATCAAAGGCTTTATATGTTTGGTAATGCTCAATAACAATATGCCCATACAAAGAGAGTTGTTTCCCAATTTGCTAAACTAATAAAAGTTGTTACCCATGACAGCTCTCCATACCTGCATGGCTCTCCATCTCTCCTACATCACTCTCTCCCTAGCTCCTCCTCTTCCTTTTCTTCTTCCTCAACTTACTCCTCCCACCTTAGCTCCTCCTACATATCACCCTTCCTGATAAAATTAAAAAAAAAAACTTTCTCTCAAAATACAATGAGAGCACAACTATATCAATTTGTATCAGTAAGGTACAAGATAGACCTAATACCCAGTCCATCAATTTGTTGACTAAACAGAACCTCTGTCATCTCTCCTAATCAAAAATCTCAGTTATGAACCTGGCTTATGTCCTGGCTTCAGAATGAATGTCAGCTGAAAACCATCTTATCAAATCTTTGCTCTCAAAGTAAAAACCCAGGGTTGGCTATGAGACTATAAGTCTTCAACTCTGTTAGAAATTCAGAATAACTGAATTAACTGAAGATATGAGAAGCACAAACTGTGGCTTTTAAACTTAGCCAATTTATAGAGACCACTGATTACCACTGTACCACTGGACAGTCCCTTATTTCAAAATGTTGGAGCATCTGGTCTTCAGCCTTCTGGCCCAGGATCATCTGGCAGACTTAATAATGCAGAATTATTAAGGGCTGATTACTCTGTCTTGGCAGACATAATCAGTCGACTCTTCCGCAAGTCTATCCTTTTCTGGACCGTAATTGGTCTGTAGATGGAAAGAGGCAATTTTTGCCTAGTAACTGTCTCACCACAACTAGAGTAACTCCAAAGATGCTCAATTTCTTCTTAGAATCCAAGACAGGGAAACTGTCAGGAGCAGACAGGTCTCTACTCAAAATGAACATTAATACAGGAATGTTTGTAATGTCAATTCTCTGGTCTTCTGACGTTTTGAAAACCAACTATCTATGTAAGACAATGTGGACTGTTGTCTGTTAACTCCTCTCCACTATTTCTAATTAAAATCTAGAAAACACCCTAACAATAAACTCAGAGCCATGCAATTGCTATAGACCCTTAACTCACAGACTAACCATCTCAAATCAGTTAAAAAAAAGATGAAGAAGAACTGGGTCTAAGCTTTGTATTCCTAAGTGTGTTTTATAGGCACAATGCCTATGAGAGTAACAATATTAATCTCACTTTTATATCAGCAAGAAATTCAAACCAATGAAAACCTTAAATTTGAAATCAAAGTAAATTTTGTACCATTTAAGAAATATAACTTTAGCTTAAGAACAATTATACAGATTTCTACCAAATAGGTTATGGCTAAGTAATCAATTCTAACTATTCCTCCCTTTGCCAATAAAACCATTAATTTTTCCTAGAAGGACAGCCTAATATTAACCACCTCAGTCCCCAAGCCCAGGGAATAGGGGCGCCGACTCTTCATTAACTTCTTCAAGCTGAATACTGGCATTGAGATATTAGAAGAGGAGTGGGGGAGGGGGGATGGAAAGGGTAAACTGATAAACCTCTGATGTCTGTGTCTTCATTGTATGCAGCTGAAATTCCAGGACATCAGAGGTTCGAACAAGTCTGCTCAGGTTGCTTGATGAGTAGATACACCAAGGGTGTGTATTCTACAATATACAATTCTCAAAACAAATTTTAGTATCAAGACAATTTTTTGTTTGAATTCTGAATTCTGGAATCTAGTCTTCTGGTGGCCCGCCTCTGTCATGTCTAATCCATATAATTCTGAGAGGTAGAAATACCTTAATCTTCTCTTGTGTAAAAACACAGTTAAATCCTTTTTCTCAAAACAGCATGTCCTTGAGCCAGTAACCAGAAAAACCTTTATTTTGACCCCTTTCCCAGAAGAAAATTATAACTGCAAAACTGAAAATCACACCTATCTTGGAAATAAAATCGATTTAATAACTAAAATACTGTATGTGCCTCTTCTTAGGCCTTTCCTATTTTGCCAAGCAGAAAATGAACCCAGGATTCCCGTGGGGCCCACATTGGACAGAACCCAAGTCTCCTGTGAGGCAATATAACTTTATATCATCTGAATACACCTGATTTACACTATCTTTCTGTTCCACCATCTGCCTAGAACAGGTTTTTTTTTTTTTTTAAAATTTATGCCATCTATCTGTTTGGCTCTGTACTCCTGAGCAGTTTCCACTTATACACTGTACTCTCTACTCTAGAGCCATTGACAATTTTCCCTATCTTAACTAAAGTACTGTATGTGCCTATTCTTAGGCTTTCCCTATGTTGTCGAGCAGGAAATGAACCCAGAATTCCTATGAGGCCTACGTTAGACAGAACCCAAGTCTCCTGTGAGGCAATATAACTTTATATCATCTGAATACACCTGATTTACACTATCTTTCTGTTTGGTCCTCTGCCTAGAACAGTTTTTTATTTATATATCTATATGTTTGGCTCTGTACTCCAGAGTGGCTTCCACTTGTACACTGTACTTGTTACTCTAGAGCCAGTGACAATTTTCCCTATCTAAGTTCCAAACTGTGGGCAATAATCCCCACGTGATTTGGACAAATCTGTTTATAAATCTTTCCTAAAAGCAAATAATCCCTATATTTTAACTTTATACTTAAATTAGTAACTTCTCCACAATGAAGGCTAATTTATTTGTCTCTCTTGGTTCAGAGCAGCCTTTATTTTCTCTCAGCAGAGGACCTGCCTGCCAGCATTTTCTTTGTTCACAGTTCCCACACTGGAGTCACATGACTGCTATCAGTGCCAATCATTCACTTTCTTTAAAAAAAAAAAATTTACTCTCAGGTGAATAGACTTAAATTTCTAGTGAATTTGTGCCTCATATTGGGCACCACTTTGTTGAGGTAAACAGTTAAAATTGGCCACTGGTTATGCCGACTATCTATTCTGTAGTGGTTCTGCCTAGCTCAGCTGCCATGTTCTGTGGCCAGAGGCCATGTGCTTGCCACAGCTAGAAATGGCCAGCCAGAAACACCAGCCCTGCCACCCAGGAGATGCCAGTATGGGAGATGGCACTGCCAATCTTCTACACTGTCTCCTCAAGGCTGGGTGTTCCCCAGACCATCTTACCATCTATTTGGGCCCAATAAGAAAATGAAACTCTAATGCTTAAAGATTAATCTAAGGCTTTGTTTGGTAATGCTTAATAACAATGCCCATACAAAGAGAGTTTTTTCCCAGTTAGCTAATCTAATAAGAGTTGTTACCTGTGACTGCTCTCCATACCAGCATGGCATTCTGTCACTCATACATCACCTTCTCCCTAGCTCCTCCTCTTCCTTTTCTTCTCCTTTCTCCTCTCACCTTAGCTCTTCCTACACACAATAATGCCTGGTGGTGGTTTTACACACCTTTAATCCAAATTCCTTAGGATACAGAGACAGGAGGATCTGAGTGTGAGGCCAGCTTGGTCTACAGTATAAATTCAAGGACAGCCAGGGCTACATCAAAGATTATTAAAAAGAAAGCGGCAATCAAAAAATGTCTTTCACTAAGAAAAAGCATAGAATTCTCTTTTATTTTATTGGTTATTTTATTTTTTCTTTCTTGTTTGTTTATTTATTTTACACTCCAGACTCCATTCCCCTCTAGGTTTACTCTCTGATCAGCCCACATCTCATACCTCCTTCTTGTCCCCTGTCTCCACAAGAATGTTCCCACTTCCCACCCCACCTGACCTCCAAACTCCCTTGGGCCTCCAGTATCTTGAGGTTTAGGTGCATCTTCTCTCACTGAACTCAGACCCAGCAGTCCTCTGCTGTATATGTGTTGGGGGCCTCATATCAGCTGGTGTATGCTACTGGCTTGGTAGTCCAGTATTTGAGAGATCTAGGGGGTCCAGGTTTATTGAGACTGATTATTTTATTTATTTTCATTTCAAACGTTATCCCCTTCCCAGTTAAACTCCCTATGTCCCTTCCCATCCACACTGCTTCTATGAGGGCGCTCCCCTTTAAAATAAGCAGAAAAAAATATGCAGAAAACTCAAGAATCTTCACTCTGATTGATCTTTATTGATGAATTCAATGATTTCTTTGTAAACTTCTACAGTAGCATCTTTACCCAATATAAAATCCATATGATTGTAATGAGGAATCTTCTTGTGATAAGCTAGGTTGGGAGTTCTGTCTGCCAGGTTTTTAACATCTTTTGGATCTCCCAGAAGGTCTCGCCCTCCACTCCACATAGCGGTTTTGACATTCATGTTCTCTATCTTGTATATTGGAGGAGTAGACTAGTAGAAAATAAAGAACATGTTATGTTAGTAACAAATCAAAGTATGAACTGTAAGTTGGAAATTCTAACCCATGAATCAATTCAGTCAGTATCTACACCAGACCACAGAATTTAAAAACTCCCAACACTTGTCAAGCACTATCATGTAGCACACACATTTTTATCAAACTTGAAACCCTGTGAACTTGATGTTCTTTATGTTTGACATGAAGATGTCAATGATCATCTGGTAGATCATACAGTTGTTTTGAAGTTCAAGTAGTAAAGTATATAGAAAGGGTTATTAAAAGAAGTATTTTCATTCTTTTGAAACCATTCTATGGCACCTGTCTACCAACATCCTGGGAAATGTAAAAAAGATTCAACAATCTTTAAGAAAAATAACCATACTTTTAGATCTTTCATACACTTTCCTAAAGGGAGGAATCTTTACAGTTTGTAAAAGGAGACTTACCTGACTATAGTGCTGCATATTTAGAGACTCACTGCCCCAGTCATATGCTTGGAATAAACCTGATCTGATTCCCTTAAAGAGAAAATAGACTGTTACTTACAAACCCTATAAAAGAAAAATTGCTAAGTATTAGAAATCTGTATTGTCTCCTTTTTTTATGTGACCCACTGGCTCAGATTCAATATAACAACATATATGTGTACTATAATTCTATCATCATATCATGTGATCCTGGATGGATGGAAAGTGAAACACAGACATAAAGCTTCTATGTCAGTCAAACAGATGAAATATGATTAAGAAAGTTAGTAACCAAAGTACACTTTCCAAAAATAAAATATAGTAGTACTTATACTATGTATGATAGTGTCATATGTAGAAAGACACTGAAATGTGAAAATATTAGTATTGTTGCCATTTTATAAGAGATATGTGTTTCACAAGTTATTTTATAGTACAAATTTGTTATAATATTAAATTTTACTATATTTAATTTTAGACCTATAATTAAAATTCAAACTATAAATGATTGTAAATGACGGAATATTTTGGAGCTAGAGAAATAACTTAGTCAGTAGGATGTTTGCTTGAAAAGCACTAGGATCTAAATTTTGCACCCACAAACCAGAATAAAAAAAGCAGAGATTGTTGAGGAGTACCTGGAACCCCAAAGCTCAGAAGGCAGACAGATTCCTGGGGCTTTTTAAGGTAAAGAACCTAATCTACCTGTCCAGTTTCAGAATAATGAGAGATAGCATCTCATTAAACAGTTGGCTAGTGTATTAAAACAATACCCCTGGATGTCAAACATTCATTTGACAAGACATTGGTTCACATATGTCCACCACCAAACAAGAACACACACACACACACACACACACACCTTTTAAATTATCTAAATGCACATCAATAAAGTCCTACATTAAGACAAGAAAACTTTTAAAATATAATTTAGTTGACTTTAACCCCAGTTACAAAGTATCATTTGTATCAGGACTAAAATAAAGTTGAATTACTTTGTATTTGCATAGAATTTATTTTGTATAAAACATTTCCAGTGGTTCTCATGACAAAGGAAATTCTTTCAAGTATTAGCACGTTTTTGTTGAAAACCCAATTGTTTTAGTTTTGTAAAACATAATAAGAAATGAAAGTTTTATGGCAGTCTAATTGTCAGGCATTTCTTCTTTTTAATTTATTTTTTTAAATCAAATCGTAATTTTTACTTATTCACACAGGGGTTATAAACACAGGAAGGCAGGGCGAGGGGAAAGGGAAGACACCTGAGTGTGGATGTTCAGGGGGAGTACAAATATCTTTCAGAACAGGGTATTGGCTGGGTGAAGGTTCAGAGGGCAGGTCACTATGACTCTGCCTATGACTCGCTTGTCCTTATCTAAGTTGGTATTGTCTGCCCAGGCTACCTATTTAAAAGGTCTATGACTACTTATAAATTTCCACAAAAGCTGCCTGTTTACAATAGCTAATGGCCATCTGTTTCAATGTTTTTCCACTGAGACCCAAGACTTGGTGTTAGTATATATGGATGACGGGCCTATTGCTGATTTTAGGCCTATGGAGGGGGTATGGGATAAGGGATTTGTGGGGAGAATGGGAGAGGAGATAACATTGAAAGGTAAATACGTAAGATATCCAATAAAAACAAATAAAAAACAGATAATGGGTCTGGAAAAAAACAAAAAAGTTAGTTTACTTATTTTAAATTATTTTCAAAAGTTTTTAGGAGATGCTAATTGGCTAAGAGCTTATTTTAAGCTCTCCACAAAAGAATTTAAATCTCTGTTTAATATTCTCAAGAGAGATGCAAATCCTTATTTCCCTCAACAATTAATTGACAAAAGAGGAGTAAGCTCACAAAAAATAGAAGCTATTATTAATCGATATATTATATAGTCTGATTAGTTGTTGGCTGTTCTATAACAGTCCTTTGATAAAAGGGATTATTAGTATAGATTTATATTTCATTAAATAGTGTCTTCATGATTCTCTGAGTGTGGAAGGAGCGGCTGCTGGCACTTCTGCCCTGATTTTACAAGAACTCTGAAAAATTGGCTTTAAAAAAGAGGGGGAATGGTACCCCCCAGAGAGAGTCCCCCAAAATACTCTCCATCATGCCTTGTTCACTTTTAACTCTCTAAAATTGAAAACTCATGGCAAATCTGCTGCTGACTGCCTCTGGCATCACCAAGACCAATAAAAACTATGCCACAGCTATGAGGAAGGACCCTCTAACCCTTAAAGGGAATGGCCTGGACCCAGTTCTCTTATGGGGCCGAGGATTGATATGCCTGTTTGATACCACAGAAGGCACAGCTAAATGGCTACCAAAAAGATTAATGAAATAAATTAATAAATAATCCAGGGAAGAGAAATCTCCCTGAGAATTCCCTTCTTTTTTCTTTCCAGGTAAAAATAAATCACTCATGATGTCTGCTGTTAGAAGTTCTAATCCAGATGCTGGCCTCCGAACTTATACTGCTCAGACCTTCGACGGGCCATTGACAAGAACATCAAACAGCTAGAGATTGACATCAGTAATCTGAAGAAATCCCTCGTTTCGCTGTCTGAAGAGACCTCCAAAAATTGCAAAAGACTTTATTGGACTTGATTTACACTTTTACAATAGAAAAGACTGTGTACAGCTCTTCACTGTGCATAGCCCTTAAAGAAGAATGTTGCCTTTGCATAGACAAGACAGGGATGGTTAAAGAGTGCGTGAAAAAGGTCAGAGAAGGCCCTGAGAAAAGACAGAGAGAGAAAGAGAAAGATGAGAACTGGTACAAGAATTGGTTTTCAGCCTCACCATGGTTGTCAACCCTACTTCCTCCCATCTTGGGACCATTAATTGGGTTATTTTTGCTTATTTCTTTTGATCCCTGGGCCTTAAATAGGCTGACTAACTTTGTGAAACAACAGATAAATAATTTGGTAGCAAAACCTATTCAGATACATCATTATAAGTAAGCTATGGAGGACCACGAGACTCAAGATGAGGTTGTAAGTCTATCCAGGGTGTTCCCAAAACCCATCTCCACCCAACCTACAAGAGGGAACTTTCGCCCCTAGACCAAGCAGAGAAGGGCCACCTAGAATCCCCTCTGACTGGCGATCTGAATTCTTGCTTAGGCTGCGAGGCTAAGCACTTCAAGGGAATATAAATAAAAGTTAAAAATATCTCTCTGGGTTCCCTAACTCTGGGACAAGTCTGATTGCATAGGGGTTGATGTCAAAAGTATCCCCTCTCCAGGAAAAAGACATAGGGATGGGTAAGGCCCTCGTGCCTCACTGGACAATGACAGGGGGACCAGAGCCATTACAAAGTCCCCTTCAATTACTGGAGGTCAGGCCTCTATCCCTGCCTTCTCAAGATTAGAATCGCCACAGCCCTTCTATACTTAGAGAAGGGAGGAGATGTCAGGGGCAGCCCTGCATCAGGCATTTCTACACTGACTTTTCACAGTGTTTAAATTCTGGGACTATGGAGCTATGAACAGACTGCTGTAGTCAAGATGACAGTGTGTGATGCTTGTTGAAGTGTGACTTTGGTCACTCTACTGATTCTGTAATGTTAGAGCTAAACATTTTCATCCAGTGAATGCAGAGAAGACTCAAAAACACATATCATCCATAAAATTTAAAAAATAAATATCTGTGAATGAAGGAAAAATCACAAATAAAGGGATATATATTCTTGATCATAGGTATCAGCTTATATCATGGCAATGGCCTTAGTAGGATGAGATCATTTTTATCTTTATTTCATACTGCTGCCATGGGAAATCTTTCTAAGTGCATGAAGGAATATTTCATAATTTATGCCTATACCTCAAAGGTACTCAAAATTTCTGCCTTTTGTTAATACATTGCTAAATTACTATTAGTTTTGTATAAAATTATACTAGATTTCTGTGTTTTTTTAAATAAATTTTCTTCCATAGAAATATAGTGTTCAATCATTCTGTCTGTAACATCCTTTACCCTCTGTGGCCAAAGGCTTCTGGACTGGGCTGGGGTGATAGCCTCAGCTCCCTGGAGGCCAGGTTCAAGCCAGACCCCCAAATATGACCCCCTGGATTCAGCTAAGCAGGATCCCCAGATACACAAGTTTTATGTATTTTAAGACAAAAGTTACTGCTTAAAAAATAAAGAGATGGAAATTTCTCTTTTCATAATTATTGTTTGCCTGTAGAGTAGTGTTTCCTCTTAGCATCAGAAACAATCATCTATCTATCTATCTATCTATCTATCTATCTATCTATCTATCTATC